ATCCGGCAGCGTGTCTTGGCGTATGTTGGCTTGTATGTTGTAGCTTCTGGTGGGTGTATGTTGATTGTCATGGGTGTCTTCCATGGTCTCCTCTCATGGTGGTTGTTGATCGTGTTGATCGCCTCATCATGGTTAGTGTGTGTCCCCTTGTCCTCCTAGGGGGGCTTGTATTTATACCCATAGGTGTCCCCTTGTCCAAGTAGAACTAGGGAAACCAATATGGATACAATCCGAGTAGTCCTTGTCGTTTCCATGTAGAACTCTGGTTGTCTTTCCTTATCAGAACTCCTCCTATATCCGAAGGTTGTTTTCGTATAGGACATGGTATGTGGTGAGTCCTCCCGAGATTTAGTCAACTACTATTAGGTATGTGTTATCCATAACTATGACAAAAATATATTACAATGACAACATAATTTTAAATTTTGCAATAACTTTACGAAACTACTAATGTGTAATATTCATATTGTATTTTATATACATGTTAGTTATTAATTATTTTTAATATCAAAATTTAGTTATTTGTAAATTATATATATTCCTATATGTACTCTGGACTCATCTTTTAATATTTCTTTTTTTAATTCTGAATTTTTATTATTTCTAATTGTATTTCTATGTGGACTCTAAACTCATCTTTCCACATTCTTTAATTTTTAATTTCAAATTTCAGTTACTTCTAAATTGTATTCCTATATTGACTTTAAACTCTTCTTCCCATGTTTTTCTTAATTTCAAATTTTAGTTATTTGTAACTTGTATTTTTATACGAACTCTAAACACTACTTTTAATTTTATTATGTTTATTCTGAATTTTAGTTAGTTTTAAATTCCTATATGGACTCTATACTCTACTTCTAATATTCCTTATTTTTTTAATTCCGAATTTATATTTTTTTCTTAATTGTATTTCTATATGGACTCTATACTCCACTTCTAATATTCCTTATTTTTAGTTCCAAATTTTAGTTATTTCATAATTGTATTTCTATATGGACTCTAGTCTCCTCTTCTAATATTCCTTATTTTTTAATTCCGAATTTCAACTATTTCTAAATTGTATTTCTATATGGACTCTAGTCTCCTCTTCTAATATTCCTTATTTTTAATTTCGAATTTCTATTATTTTCTAATTGTATTTCTATATAGACTCTATACTTCTACTTCTAATATTCCTTATTTTTAATTCCGAATTTCAGTTATTTCCTAATTGTATTTCTATATGGACTCTAGTCTCCTCTTCTAATATTCCCTATTTTTTAATTCCGAATTTCAGCTATTTCTAAATTGTATTTCTATATGGACTCTAGTCTCCTATTCTAATATTCCCTATTTTTTAATTCCGAATTTCAGTTATTTCTAAATTGTATTTCTATATGGACTCTGCCTTTTCTTTTTCTCCGATTAATGTGAGAATTTCTAGACCATGAGAGCGAACGTGGAGGCTCATTTTTCTATTCCTTTAATAATATAATAGATAATAGTAGGAAAAGATAGATTTAGGTCCGGTCTGTTCTTGACCCTGGGGCCACTTCTGTTCATATGTGAACCACCCCTCTTGATTAAACATGAGTGTTGAAACATATAAAATCTACAATGACTCAAAACTCTAGGCACAAGGAACCTCGATTTCCTTGTAACCTTATCAGCAAAGGTTTGCCTCAGACCCGGTCCTATCCTAGGTCCCGGGCTCATCTTTGTCCTTGTAAATCCTAGGATCCTCAGTAAGAGGAGCGTAGAGACTTACAAGATATATATCTTAGGAACATAAACAAAGGTAGGCCTCGGACCTGGTCCTGTCCTGGGTCCCGGGCTCACCTTTATCTTTGTAAGTCGTACGATCCTCAGTAAGACAAGCGTAAAGACTTACAAGATGTTTATCTTAAGAATATAAAGAAAATGTTGGCCTCGGACCGGGTCCTGTCTTGGGTCCGGGGCTCACCTTTGTCTTTGTAAGTCCTACGATCTTTAGTAAGAGGAGCGTAGAGATTTACATGGTATATATCTTAAGAATATAAACAGAGGTTGGCCTCGGACCGTGTCCTGTTCTAGGTCCCGGGCCCACCTTTGTCCTTATAAATCCTATGATCCTCAGTGAGAGGAGCGTAGAGACTTACAACATTTATATCTTAAGAATGTAAACTGAGGTTGACCTCGGACTTGGCCCTGTCCTGGGTCCTGGATTCACCTTAGTCCTCGTAAGATCTACGATCCTTAGTAGGAGCAGCGTAGAAACATATAAGATATACATCTTTGGAACACAAGTAGAGGTTGGCGTCGGACCTGGACCTGTCATGGAACCCGGGCTCAACTCTGCCCATATATAAGTCCTACGATCCTTGATGAGAAGAGCGTAAAGATATATAAGATCTACCTCTTATTTATCTATTCATCAAAGACATCTTCGAGAAGCTCATCTCAACATAACATAACTACCTTTTTAGGGACGCGGGGGCACGGCGTGCCCCAGGCTGGTTGGGATGACGAGCGTGTTTTACACCCAGCTGTAAAGCACCGCTCTCCGCCATAAATGAAACAGGTTTATGGAGGGAACCCCCGCCAATCTAGAGTTGAAAAGACGTGGATAGGACGCTAGCGCAGAGTCATTAAGACCGGTGGCGTCTTGGACACACGTCGCGCATGCCCAGAGACACCTGATTCAGCCAAACGGCCAAAATTGGAATCGTGGCGCCATTTCGGCAGGCTGGGTACGGTCTTGCCAGGCCCAGCACTCGCCACGCGGTGAGCATGCTGGCACACCTAGCTGTCCCGAGTGTGAGCCGGGTGCATTGTAATCATGATTTTTAGGTAGGTTTCTCGGGGATTTTTGGAGGGAACCAACCATTATTGACAAGACGATGGAATGACAAGGCCAAAAAGATGTAGACATGCAGCACTGTGAGCCCCTCCTTATACTATAAAAGGAAAGAGACATGCTACGTTGGAAGGGTTCCTTGTTTCTAGCTTGAAAAGGCAAAGTTTGTATTTCTCCAGATCCAAATACCAACAAAGAAACAAGAGTAAGATATTACACCTCCAGGTAACCTGAACCTTTATAAAATCTCTTGTGTTCATTTGCTTGGCGGGGAGCTTAGGCCCCGTAAATTGTCTTCTTGATCGTCGTGTGTAGCTAACCCCTTGGTCGGATCTTCATTTTCGGGGAGGGGTCTGCACTTCCCCACTGCTAGAGAATCGCCTATCCGACAAGGTCTATTTTAAATTCTTCTGAAACTTGTTGGTTAGGTGCCCATGAACAGAGATCGAAGATGTAACTTACTTCACTATCTTAAAAAAAAAGAACTATTCTCCTATAACAGTAGAGACACAAATGACTCTTAACCATTGATGCACTAAATAATTTCTTGTTACCATTCTTTCCTCCTTTTTCACCCATGCAATATATAAGCCATATTTCCCTTTCCTCTTTTTTTCACGTCACTAAATTTAACGAAGAGAGCATGGTATTAAACACTTTTATACATTTCCTAATTTCCTAATGAGTGTGTTCGTGTATACGACGTCTTCTATGTAATTAAAAACGAGAATGATTGATACATTGGGTTTTGACACAATCGTACAAACTATGGGGTACGTTTAGTTGGCGAAAAAAAATTTACCTCACATGTCACATCAGATATACGGACACATATTTGAAATATTAAACGTCGTCTAATAACAAAACAAATTACAGATTCCGTCAGAAAACTACGGGACGAATTTATTAAGTCTAATTAATCCGTTATTAGCAAATGTTTATGGTAGCAACACATTGTCAAATCATGGCGCAATTAGATTTAATAGATTTGTCTCGTAATTTCCTGGCGAAATGTGTAATTATTTTTTTTCTAAATTTAATACTCCATACATATTTCTAAACATTTGATGTGACAACGTGAAAAATTTTGTTTGGTAACTAAACAGGCCCTGAATATGGATACACTTGACTTGTCTAGGCAGAGACGTGGAGTGTTTGTTGACTTCAAAACCAGTTTTTAATATACTTCTTGTTTTTTTTTTGCTTTTACTAAATATATGCCCGTGTATTGCACGGCCAATACTATTAGGTGGATTGGTTGAATTTACGATTTATGCTTAAAGAGGTGATTTTCTAGACTAATCGTTTTTGTCCGATAATTCTTTTTTTCTTCGAACTAACTGTTTTTATATTTGTTTTTCTCCGATTATTTTTTTTATCATCTACATATTTGTCGAAAAATTTTCTTTTCAAAATTTGAGAGATATAATTATAACACAATCATGATGTAATTATACTATAACTTACATACAACATGTACGTAACTTTCAAAAACTTCTCCGTAATATGCTATTTCGGTGAAATCGAGGTTGTGGGAATGAATTATCTCATATATATATGCGCGCAGTGACTTTTTTCTTCTTCATTTGCACAAATCTTTAAATAAATATTCTAACAGTTCAAAATTATATATATGTGAAAGTTACATGCAAGTTACAGTGTAGTTACATGCTAATTGTGTAATTACACTAATTATATCTGTCAAATTTTTTATCAATAAATATATAGTAAAATTGATTTTTTTTTCTTAGGAGAATAGGCACTACGCTTGAAGGGAGAGGAGAAGAATGACTTTTGCTTTTAAGTAGTAGAAATATACAACGTTGTTCGAGCTAAAATAAAAGAAAAAAAAGAACATGTACATTGCTGTGTTCTGACTTGAAGAGAAATTAAAAAAACCATTGGCTACGCTCAGGTGCAGGCGTTCGATAGCAGCTAGGTCCCCGAGGTAGGCAAATGGCAAGGCAATTTTTCATGCGGACTTTTGGAGTGCCTAGCTAGGTCTCGTGGAGTTTCCAACTTTTCTTTGAAATTCAATTTTTTTGTCATATTAAATTTTTCTACACACAAACTTATAACTTTTCTGTCACATCGTTTTAATTTTTTTAAACTTCTAATTTTAACGTGGAGCTAAACACAGCCCTAAGTTCCAAGTTCCAACCTCATAAGTTCCATCTACCACCAATATCTAGCATCAGATCTCCAGAGAGGGAGAGAGACAGGGATAGAGGTAGGGGAGAGACAGAGAGAGAGGGGCCGGGGGATCGAGTGGTCAACATGGATGCTCCGGTACTTAGTTCTTCGCTTGCCCTTGGTGCCATGAGTCCCCTGCTCGGTAAGCTCGATGAACTCCTTGCTAGTACGGAGCACACGGCACCGAGCATCCAGCAAATCAGAGCCAATCTTGGCATCACAAGCACACGCCTGGTCGAGCTCTCCATGTTGCAAGATCCTCCCCTCGTGGCCAAGTACTGGATGAAGGATGCGCGCGAGCTGTCCTATGACATGGAGGACTGCCTCGACCTCGACCAGGTCGCCGGCGGCGGCGAGGAGGCGGATTGGATCGATCGCATCGCTGGGTTCAGATCTCGCGTGGAGGAGGCCAATAGACGGTACGAGAGGTACAATCTTGATTCCATCCTTGGCTCCTCCACAAACATTCCAATCGACCACCGCCTTAAGCCGGCCGTCGGGAAGCCGGCGATGGAGCATGTTGGTATGGAAGGGCCGATGGATGAGCTCCGCCGGTGGCTGACCGACGAGGCGCAGGAGCTCAAGGTGGTATCTATCGTCGGCGTTGGAGGGGTGGGTAAGAGCACGTTTGCGCAGAAACTATGGCGGAAACTTGGTGGACAATTCGATTGCCGGGCTTTTGTGCACACGGCCAAGAAGCCTGACATGAGGAGGATTTTGAGGAGCATACTCTCTCAAGTTCGTCCGCGACAACAGCCCGAGGTTTGTGAGGTGCATAACCTCTTAGAAGATCTCAGAAAACATCTACTAGATAAGAGGTAATCTTGATTCGCTACGTTTTACTGAAAAAGAAAGGGACCATTCACCATCAAACAACCGCATGCATTTTCCTTAAGTTTCAGGTGATTCTTAATTGCTGGATTTGATTTTAGGATCAATTTAATGAGCTTTTCTTGTCATTTTTGTTCAACAATGTTCTTTTCATTATTGCAAAAATATAAGTAAATAGTCCACCTAAAATCGTTCTTAAAAACCAAGCTTCAAAAATCAAAATTGCTTTGGCTTCTAAGAGAAGTTGAGCCATGCACAGCTGGCCATGTTGGTCCATGTGTTGAAGGATAATTTCTATTGAAGTCTTAAGAAAAAAAAAACTGTAACCATTCATCATCTACGTCTGCAGTTATCTGAACTTGGTTTCTGCCTAAAAAGCCTGTACCTGTATTGCTCCATTCTATTTTCTCTTTTGCTATTTACCTGACAAGACTTGTTATTGTGTTCAAAATTATTTCTCAGGTACTTCATTATAGTGGAAGATTTATGGGATACATCAGTATGGGATGTTGTTAGCCGTGCTTTTCCAAAGGGTAATTGTGGTAGCAGAATAGTAACAACGACAAAATTTGAGGAAGTTGCTCTGACTTCTTGTGGTTATCACTCTAAGTACGTATTTAAGATAAAACCTCTTAGTGAGGATCTCTCGAAGGAATTGATTGTCAGAAGAGTTTTTGTATCCGGCAAAGGATGTCCTCAACAATGCAGTGCCATTTTAGATGAGATTACAAACAAATGTGGCGGTTTACCACTAGCTCTAAACATCATCGCCAGTCTTCTATCTTGCCAACATGAAGTATTAGAGCACTGGAAACATGCAAGGGATTTTTTATGCAACAGTTTGAGGACAAATCCAACTTTTGATGAGATTCTGAAACAAGTAGTAAACCTTTGCTACAATAGTCTTCCCCATTGTTTGAAGACATGTCTACTTTATTTTAGCATATATCCAGAGAATTACACAGTTATGAAGGAAGATTTGGTGAAGCAGTGGGCAGCTGAAGGTTTTCTCTGTGCAACAAAAGGAGAAGAAATTATGGCAGTTGCAGTGAGCTGTTTTGACAGGCTTGTCAATTTAGGATTGATTCAACCTATTGATATCAATTATAATGATAAGGTGGTGCACTATGCAGTGAATAACATGGTACTTGATATTATTACTTATAAGTCCATAGAAGAAAATTTTATCACTGTAATGGATAAGGATTGTTATCAGATGAGTATAGAACTTTCTGACAAGGTTCGCCGACTGTCGCTCCACTTTGGCAGTGCAACATATGCAACTATACCAGCAGGTATTGGACTATCCCAAGTTCGATCACTTACCTTTATTGGTTTGTTCAATTGCCTGCCTTCCATTGTGAAATTTAAGCTTGTCCGAGTTGTGATCCTTCATTTTTTGGGTGATCATGGAAACTTGAGTTTGAATCTCAGAAAACTAGGTGAACTGTCTCAGTTGAAGTATCTGCAGATAAAATGTAATGTCACCGTGGAGCTACCATATCAGATGCAAGGGCTAAAACATTTGGAAGCATTGGAAATAAGAGCAAGAACAGTGTCTATTCCATCGGACATTTTTCATCTGCCGATGTTGTTTCATCTCCTCCTTCGAGCCGACAGAAATCTGTCCCCGCGGATTGCTAAATCTTTTTGTCTGGAACCTAATCCTTCAGGGAAGATCAGTTCCTTGGATAACCTGAACGTCCTGTCGTCACCTCCCATCTTTCTTCAGACATTTGAAGTGTTGCCACCTATTGGCGTCTATTCAAGACTTCCTGAGTGGATCCAACAACTCCGCAAACTCCGCATTCTGAAAATTGCGATCAGACAATTGATGAGGAATGATATTGATATTCTTTCAGGATTGCCTGTGCTCACTGCTGTCTCGCTGCATATTCGGCAATCCATGGAAGAAATCATTGTCTTCCACCGCGAGTCATTCCCAGCTCTCGACTGTTTGAAGCTATCATGTAGTGTACTGTACCTCACTTTTCAGGAAGAAGCAATGCCGAATCTTCGGAGGCTGAAGCTAGGATTCAATGCTCACAGAAGAGAGTTCTTTTACGTCAATATGCTTTCTGGCATTGAGCACCTGAAAACCCTGCAGGAGGTAGTAGGACAAATTGGTTTAGGCTTTGGTGCAGGGGAATCGGAGTGGGCAGCTGCAGAGTATGCATTCAAGAACGCCTTTAGCAGGCATTCAAACTTAACAAGCTTCAATATACGAAGAGTTGGTGGTGTTGATGAAGAGTAAGGGTCTTTTTCTTTTCTCTAATAGAACATTCAGTAATAGAGAAATAATTATTTCCTGTTCCTACTTCTTTTTTCAACCTATAGAAATAATTATTTCCTGTTCATACTTCTTTTTTCAACCTATTAAAAGGTAGAGATATTACTGAATGCGTTTAAATCCGATCTGGCGTGCAAAATACATAGTATAAAGTTTACGGTGGTCCCTACTGGTAGTAGTACTCTATTATTAATATTATCATCAGCAAAAATAATCTTAATAGTTGATTTATAATTTCTACTGTTAATAGAAAATTTTATTTTGCAACCAATAGTTGAGGCGATAGCATAGATAGATATGATGTATTAGATTATAAAATATGAACGATCTAAATTGATTCTATTAACATTCTTATTATTATTGCTTACTGTGAATTAGTGGGGTCCTACCTCTCACTTTCTTTCGTTTTTCACAATTACTCATTTTTCTTAGCATTGTTTTCGGTGTTGATGACATTTCTTCTTCCTTCTCATAATTAATTTTTTTTCTTATAAATTGTGTTGACATTGCATTCCCTTAATATAGGCGCTCTGGTGAGGAGTTGTTGCTGACAAGCACCTTGTGAGTAATCTAGCTTCTGTCTGCTAGTTCATTTATGAATTCTACAACTACTTGGTCACATAATCTAGAGAGCATTTCCACTGCTTGAGGGAGCTGAAATTTTACTAGCCGCATGCCCGCATCTACTCTAAGGATCAATAATCTCTAGCTCCCTCAAGCAGGGTCACAATATATATCTATGTTCTTATGTTCTGCGTTTGAGCAATATCTCGTGCAACACAATTGCTTACTCAACCTTTCTTTAATTTTTAACACATTATTATCTATTAAACATCCAAGTCCAACATTCATCTGCATGTACTGCAAAGTTGAACAACTAAGGCATAGTTCTGAATAGCTTAAGGGCTTACCTACTCCCTCATTTTTAGCGAGCATGTTTTCAGGCCGCTAAACAGTACATCTATCTATCTATTATATACTAAATGTCCATTAATCTTCCTACAAACGCTTCTAAACCGCCACGTGGTGTTCCTATAAACGCTCTTAGGTTGCCACGTGGCATTTATAATCTCACCGTCGATTTTCATTTAAATTGGTGAACCCATTATCTAGACCATTAGGTTAGATCTCTTTGCTTCCTCTTGATATCATATCATGTGTATACGAGTGAACTGTTTATACCAGAAAATCCTAGTTACCTACGCACAATGGAAAAAGAAGGAAAAATCTGACGTACGTACGCACAGTTGAAAAAAAAAACTTTTGGTACTGTTCATTTAAAAAAACGTACGTATGTACGATAGAAAACTATTAAAAGGTACTGTTTACTTTAAAAAAAATACGGACTTATATATGCAAGTAAAAAAGAAAAGCTATAAGATCAGAAAAATATATGTACGTGGGTAGAAAAAATAGATGGTTTTTAAAATAGTGTTTTCTATTGTAGAAAAACAAAATTTATTCATCCACAAATATGGTAAAAAATGTAGAATAAAAAATACATGATGTAAACATATATGATTTCAGTTGCACTACAGTAAAAAATATATGTTTTTAGCACACAGGCATTCTTCTTATTGGTGAGGCTTTAAAAAGTCGATCTAACAATATATCACTTTCTATTTTATTAAGGAATGCCTGTGAAGTGGTACAGGATGACATAATACATAGTCACTTTCTTTTTATAATTTTTCATATATGTTTGAATGACATGCAAAGGATAATAAATAGAACTTAGAAGAATATACATTTTACGAGTGAAGTAGAAAACATACGTCATAAATTCTAATTGTCCAAATAGATAAAAGAAATGAACGCATGATTTAAAAGTAAAAATTATGATGATCTAAAATATATATGATTTAAAAGTAAAAATTATGATGATCTAAAATATATTGTTACAAATAAATATACATAATTTAGAAGGTTGTGGTTATTTAAAATTTATTGTTGCAAATATTTTCATAAAGAGAAAAAGGGAGAAAAAGTAATCAAGAGGATAAACTTCCTACAAACGCTTCTAATCCATCACATAGTACCCTATAAACGCTTCTAAACCTCTATGTGGCGCTCTAGTTAATCATAGAAATTATAAGAAAAAAAAACATCCGAACATCTCACGTCGTCATGCCACTACCGGACAATATACATGCATGTAGATACGTAGGTATTCCACCTTAAGAAAAAATGTATGTATTTACGGTACATACACGCGTCGGGTCCTACATCCTTTTTTTTTTTCTTCTCATTTAGATTAGATGGAAAACCAAACTAATAATCAAAAAACATATTAACTATGCTTTAAGTTGTAAAAATATATGCTATTTTGAATTGTATTCAAATTAGGCGCATGTCATCGAAACAAAAAATGAATTGCCCGTGCATCTGCACTGACTTCCTTCCTAGTTTACTTATAAAAGTTTCTTTAAAAAATCAAATAAATTAATCTTTTAATTTTGTAATAGTTAATACTCAAATAGTGATACACTAATGTCTTGCCCCGTTTCACGTGCAAGTGAAAAGCTCTAGCCAACTTGGTATTTATTAATTTTTATTTTATAATTTACTAAATCGTGGAAATATTATAAGCCAACTTGGTATTTATTAATTTTTATTTTATAATTTACTAAATCATGGAAATATTATAATTGAGATTTCAAACTGAGCACTACTTGGCATTACTATATTTGAATTTTACAATTATTAATTCGCTGAAAAACTAATTGATACTGAGACTATGTATTTCAAAATTTATTAATTTACTGTTCCCTCTGGTTTCATAATTCTTGACGTTTTAGACAAGGTTATGGTCAAACTTTAGAACTTTGGCTATCAATAAGTCTCAAAATATTAAGTTTGGAGATAATAGAATAACATGTATAAATTGGTCTTAAAAGGTACTATAATAAAAGTAAGTATTTATTTATTTATTGCATATATTATAATAGAAAATTATAGTTAAGATATGTTTTGAAAACCATATTATTGTTCAAAACATCAACAATTATGGAACCTAAGGGAGTACTAAATTTTATTAATTCCTAAATTTAGATTTATTAAATAAAGATAATGATTTAATTCGAACTCCAAATGGAGTATAAATAATTTGGTACGTATTAATTCAGATTTTGAATTATGAAATCATCAAAAAATAAAGTAAAGACTCTAAAGCCAATTACAACTAAATAGCATTTATTTATTTTGAATTCAGTAATTGTTGTGTGGTGAATATTTTGGCCATAGAATATAAGGATGCATATGATTTTATTTATATTAATGTGAGAATTGCTTACTTCTTCTCTTAATGAAGGAAATGCTAGGTAATTTCTCGTCTACTCATTCATTATGTGACAAAACCAATGAACATGCAACCAATAAGTACTAAAATGACTTCTTGAGTTTCGATAAAAAAAATTAATATAGCACATAGTGCCTACAAATAGGACTTAGACTTTTGGAAAACCAAAGAATGAAATAGGACTTAGACTTTTGGAAGGAGGGAGTAAAAAAAATGTATGGAGTAGGATAATAATAATGTGGACACTTCTATATGAGAGCTTCAAATTAGTATGAAGAAAGATTTCTGATACAATAACAAGATTATTAATTTCTATGGTATTATGGAACGTTGAGAGTGGCCTTGTATATGCAAGAACTATAAATCCTCAAGAAGATCCTAGAGTCTTAGACCAATCGTAAGTCAAATGCGAGATTTAATTTTGCAGAAATCTTGAAGAGTTGTTTGGATCCCAAGAGAAGTGAAATGTTTGTCTGACAAGTTAGCAAGAGAAGCTAGAAGTCATCAGATGGACTCTCCTGTTTATGACTGTCAAATTATAACACATATAGCTTATCCTGGAAGCTCATGCTATTCCTCGGCTGAAAGACTGTTTCAGTGAAACTAATTGCACAATAAACCAATTTTTAACCTTAAATTTGGAGCTGATTTTGGGATTTTTTTTATCGAAGTTTATTTTTCAACCTTTGCTTTTAGATCGCTAAGAACATGTATATAAAAATTTTATTCACAAATTACTTTTCGTTTGCAAATGTCATTTGCCATTTGGGTTATACACTTAAGTCAACTATAAAATAATTGACTCGGTTATCTAAAGATGAATTAAGTGCAAAGCCTTATTAATTACCTCTCTTTTATTGTCTCCTGTAAAGTTTTATTTATATCGTGCTTTAACTTTTGATTGAAGATTAATTTCTTGATGCTTTGCAGTAACTGGGAACCCCAAATTTTGGATCAGACAGAAAGCTCTTCACTTTCCTTGTCTGCTCCAGGAGTAAGTAGCCTTGAAAAGTTCATATTTACTAAAACAGAATTTAGTCAGTTCCCGGGATGTGTAGATGTGTCGGATCAGAAAGAAAACTCTTCACTTTCATTGTCCTTGGGAGTAAGAAACCCTGGAAAGTGCGCAGTTGATACAGAATCCAGTCAGTTCCCAGGATGTATAGATGTGTCGGATCAGAAAGAAAACTCTTCACTTTCATTGTCCTTGGGAGTAAGAAACCCTGGAAAGTGCGTAGTTGATACAGAATCCAGTCAGTTCCCAGGATGTATAGATGTGTCGGATCAGAAAGAAAACTCTTCACTTTCATTGTCCTTGGGAGTAAGAAACCCTGGAAAGTGCGCAGTTGATACAGAATCCAGTCAGTTCCCAGGATGTATAGATGTGTCGGATCAGAAAGAAAACTCTTCACTTTCATTGTCCTTGGGAGTAAGAAACCCTGGAAAGTGCGCAGTTGATACAGAATCCAGTCAGTTCCCAGGATGTATAGATGTGTCGGATCAGACGGAAAGCTCTTCACTTTCGTTGTTATTGGGAGTAAGAAACCCCGGAAAGTGCGTAGTTGATACAGAATCCAACCAGTTCCCAGGATGTATAGATGTGTCGGATCAGAAAGAAAGCTCTTCACTTTCGTTGTTATTGGGAGTAAGAAACCCTGAAAAGTGCGCAGTTGATGCAGAATCCAGTCAGTTTCCAAGATGTGTAGATGGGTCGGATCAGAAGGAAAGCTCCTCGCATTCCCTGTGCGCTTCGGTAGTAAGCGATGCTTCAGAAATGCTCGCAGCTAACACTGTAAAATCCAGTGGTGGAAGTGTGGCGGGTGCAAGTGGTAGCGGGAAATGCAAGAAACAAGGCTGCGAGGAGAAAGCCGGAGGAAAAACCATCTTCTGCAGGGCCCATGGCGGAGGCAAGAGGTGCTACTATCCTGGCTGTACAAAGAGCGCCGAAGAGCACACAGACTTCTGCTTAGCTCATATTAGTCGCCGCTGCATGCACGAGGGTTGTTTCCGGTTTGCACGCCGGAAAACTGACTTCTGCAGCAAGCATGGAGGCGGCAAAAAGGGTGAGACTGAGACCCATAAGAAGTCGTCCAGGAGTGCAGAATCTCGCTCTGGAGCCACCATCACTCACGTGAGTTCAGGTAAAAATTGCAAGTCTCCAGGATGCACAGGAACCGCAGACGGAGTCACCATGCTCTGCGAGAAGCATCGCATGAAAATGGCCTGCTCATTTCCAGGCTGCACCAAGATGGCATGGGGGCCGAGTGCACACTGTGTACGCCACGGAGCCGGCAAGAGATGTAAGTTTCTGGGCTGCACCAAGAGCACAAGGCGAAGCACCGATTTCTGCAAGACGCACGGTGGATCAGGAGGTGCAGATGATACTCTGTGCTCATGGCGAGGAGGGGAATCAAGCGTTGGTGGTGGCGAGGACAAGTGTGATAGAATTGCTCGGGGAAGGTCTGGTCTATGTGCAGCTCACAGCGCTCTTGTCCTGGACGACCGTGCTTCCTGCGATGGCACAATAGCCCCAGCAGCCGCCCAGCTGGTCCAGGCAGATGAACTCATCAAACCCGATGTGATAGAACACCCTGCCGTGGAGGCAGGTCGCGATGACAAAGCTGATGGTGGTGTTGGAGGATCAGGATCAGCAGCGGCTGTGGCTGACCAAAGACTAGATTTGAATGCCGAGGCGATTATTACACAACATTTCTTTGTTTGAGGGGAAAAAAAAAACAGGAAAGCTAGTCCTGTGTTGATTTATTTGTTGTAAGCGCCAATGTAGTTCATTACTTAGTACTGCTGGTAATTAATTCATGTACTTTTGTATATATAAGAGAGTAGTGCAATTGGGACTGGGGGCGGTTGGGTTGAAAGTAAAAATTCTGAGTAATAACTAACCTAGGAGCACAATAGAGCCTAAATCATCAAATGAGATCACTAAATATTTGGCATACGCATCTTTCTTGTATTATGCTTCTGCAGTTGTGGTTGAAGTTTTTTTTTTTTTTAGGTAAAAGCAGGAGCTCTGCCTATTTCATAAAAGGAGAAGAGAGGGAAACCGAGTCTGTACGGTTACAAAGGATCCCATGGGGACCCCTTCCGAGGTGTTGACAGAGGAGTTGACAGGAATTTTTATATAGTGCAGAGCAACTAGCAGGAGGATGCGAGAACTACTCATCTAAATTGTGAGCTCCATCATAGGCCTTGCACATGTCGATTATTGACTCAACGACTTGCACCACTGTGCCATAAGCACCCTTGAAGATTCTAGCATTTCTTTGAAGCCAAATGCCCCAAACTGTGTAGATGAAGAGGCCGTCAAAATTTCTTCTCTGTTCTTTCACCATCTCTCTCCTGCAAGCTGTCCACCATGCTAGCATGTCTCCATTGAAAAGAGAGGCTAGCGGCATATGAAGGCCAATAATATAAGGTTGAAAGAACAATAATGTATCTTAGTATTTTTTGAGAAAAAATAAGAAGGAAATGTATCGATCGTATACCATGTTGAATACGCAGCAGACACACGCGCAGCATCGATAAGTTGCTCGACCACCAAATCTATGCTATGGGCAACAAATTCACGGTAATTCCATTGGAATAAGTTCACCGGAGGTCCCTTAATTTGACAGCGAGATTTTTCTAAGATCTCTTAACCATAAAATCAGAAATATGTACCCCCATCTTCAGTTCTTCTGTTGAGAAGCTCTCGCGTCGTCCTCCCTGGGGGCGGCACGGGAGGCGGCGACCCGGCCGCCCCTCTCCCTCCCCTCCTCCCCCTCCACCTTGCCGCCACCCGAGCGGCCGCCGCCCGAGAGGCCGCCGGCAAAGCCGGCCGGCCGCAAGGACGGCGGCGGCGGGGCTTCTCGCATCCTCTCTTCCGGGCGGGCAGGGGGCCGCCCTAGGCAGAGCGGCGGTGACCGCTAGATCCGGCCCGCTCCGGCTGGATCTGGTGGGACGGCGGCTGGCGGCGGCGAGGGTGGCGGTGGCTGAAGACGGCGGGGATGGCGACGTCGATGCTAAGGGCGCGCGACGCTGGGCTGCGGTGGCTGAAGGCGGCGGGGAGGGCGACGGCGATGCTAAGGGCGCGCGACGCTGGGCGGCGGTGGCTGAAGGCGGCGGGGATGGCGATGGCGTCGGGGACAGAGTTGGCCGATGGCGCGAAGGCGGCGGTGGTGCTCCCGTGGCGGCGACAGCGCGAAACCTGGCGGCGACGGCGGCGGTGCCCCCCAGATCCGCCCCTCTCAGCCAGATCTGGAGGGTGGAGGCAGTTGGCAACGGCGGCGACAGTGTGGCGACGACGGCGGCGGCAGTTGGCGACGACGACGATGACGGCCGGCGGCAGTTGGCGACGGTCTCGGCCGGATCTGGATGCCGGCGGCAGTTGGCGACGACGGCGGCTGTGTGGTGATGGCCGCGGCGGCGGTAGTGGGTCGGCGGCAACATGGTGGCTGCCGTGTCAACTGGCAATGGCGGTGGAAGCCATGGCGTTGGGCTGCTAGCTGCTTGGTGGTGGAGGGCGACGGCACAGTGGCGGTTTTGTGGAGGCGGTGGTTGGCGTCGGTGGCAGCGGCGACGGCGACTGTGACTCTGGAGGCGGTGGCGACGTCGGCGGCGGGGAAGGAGTCGGGTGCGAGGTGGGGATGATGACGGCGAGGTGGCTGGGTGTTCGGCAGCAGCGGCTGTGGTGGTGGTGACTGTGTTCGCGGTCACCGGAGGCATGGCGGCCTCGGTTGACTAGCCGAGGGCGTGGGAGACTGCCGCATCCGACCAGCGCGGCACCGTTTGGTGGAGGGGTCGGAGACCGGCTTGGCGCAGAGAAGCGCAGCCAATGGCAGCGGAGGCTGGCTCGGCGCGAGAGGCGCGGCCAATGGAGGGAGGCCGGATTAGCGTGAGAGGCGCGTCCGGTAGAGGAGACCGGCTTGGCGCAGAGAGGCGCGGCCGGCGGTGGAGGAGGCGACCTAGGTGTGAGGAGGAGCTGCCGGTAGGTGTGGCGCGGTCTTCGGCGCACGAAGGCTGGCCGGCGAGGGACGCCGGTGCAGGGGTCCCACATGTCGGCAAAGCTTGTGTGGTGGTGGAGCATCGGTGCATCAGTCGTGGCTTCGCAGGGGCAATCTCGTCGGTGCCCTTTGTTGGTCTAGTGGCGGTCGGTCACGCTTAGCGGCGGCCGATCCGGTGCTAACCTTCTCCTGGTCGTGTGTGTTGGCGATGTCGGCGTGTGGGTGGTGGTATATTTTTTCCTTTACCTGGTTACGACTCTTCAGGGTTGTAATCTTGTATTTTTTTCCTGCTCTATCAATAGAACTTCGCACTGTCTCATGCGAGTCGTTCAAAAAAAAAAAAGAAATGTGTACCCCTAAACTCTCACAAACCGTTCACTGGAGGTCCCTCGGCAGTATTTTTGCCCGGTTTTGCTGACGTGGCATCCTAGTTAGAAAAAAATAAAAAATAAATATGTGGGGCCCACGTGTAAGTGACAAAAAAAATGTTAGGTCAATAATCCTAGTCAGCACTGATATTCTTAATTGCTTTTTTCTTTGGCGCATAGGGGTCCGGAAGGCTGAGCGGGGCGCGGCGGGCGAGCGGCGGTTCGTGAGTGCGACTGCGGTGAGCGCGGCGGCAGAGCGGCGGCGGCGGCGGCGGGTGAGTGGCGGCTCCAGGCTCAGGAGGAACAGGCGGAGGGGCGGCGGCGGTGGCGCGGCAGCAGCTGGTGCTGGCCGGAGAGGGCGGAGATGAGGCCGGCGTGTCGTGTCTCTTCGCTCCCTTCCAGCACCATGAGCCACTTGGAGAACACGCTCGAGGCGCGTCTCGCCGGAACGGGGAGCCAGATGTACCAGTCGCTCGTTGCGAAGCGCACATCGACGGTGGACTTCCTCAAGGCGTACAAGCTGTTCACGGCGGCCTGCTGCGTCAAGAAGGTGAGCGTCATCTTCTGATCTTCTCCAACAAGACCATCTACAACGCCGTCGCCGGGAAGCGCAAGCTGCACATCGTCGACTACGGCCTCAGCTACGGATTCCAGTGGCCAGCTTTGTTCTTTTTGCTGGGAACCAGGGAAGGCGGACCACCGGAGGTGAGGATGACCGGCATCGACGTCCCGCAGCCGGGCTTCCGGCCAGCCGACCAGATCGAGGAGACAGGCCGCCGGCTGAGCATCTGCGCGCGCGCGCCAGTTCGGTGTGCCATTCAAGTTCCGCGCCATTGCCGCAAAGTAGGAGACGGTCCGCCGCGAGGACCTCCACCTTGACCGAGAAGAAGAAGAGGTGCTCGTGGTGAACTGCCTCCACGGCTTGAACAACCTGCAGGACGAGAGCGTGGTCATGGACAGGGACAGCCCGAGCCCCAGAGATGTGGTGCTCAACAACAACCGCGACATGAGGCCTCACGTGTTCGTCCAGTGCGTCGTTAATGGCGCGTACGGCGCGCCCTTCAAGGAGGCCTCACGTGTACGTCGACTGGTACATCTGGCTCCCTGTTCAAGGAGGCTCCGGAGCGCGCCGCCGGGAGCTGCTGTTGCCGCCACCGCCGCGCGGCCACCGCCTTGTCCACGGTGGTCCTCGACGGGCTGCAGATCGGCTTGGGCATCAGCGCCAGGTGCTGCCTCGCTGGGAAGCAGACGAGCAGGTCGGCGCCGTCGTCGTCGCCACCACGCCCTTCCCTCCACCTCCACCTCCACCTCCGCCGCCGGCCGCCGCCTTCTTCCTCACGACACGCGGCCGACGATGCGGCGCTCCACCCCCTCTCCCGCCGGCGCGACGCGTACGTGGAGAGGATGGGAGAGGGAGAGGTGGTCGACGGGATATGGCCAGATGGGGGAGGGGAAAGGCGGCCGGCAGCTGCTGTGCTCGCCCTCCACCGCTCTGCCCGCCACCGCTCCGCCTGCCACTCGCAGACCGCTGCCGCGCTCGCTCGCTGCCAGCCTCCCGCATCCGCCGGAGAGAAGAGAAGGGTAAGAAAAGACAAGAAAACAAGATGTGCAGCTGACATGTGGATCCCACGTACTTTTTTTTTACTGACTAGGATGCCACGTCAGCAAAACCGGGTAAAAATACTGCCGAGGGACCTCCAGTGAATGGTTTGTGAGAGTTTAGGGGTTCACATTTCTGGTTTTATGGTTAAGGGATCTTAAAAAAATCTCGCTATTAAGTTGAGGGACCTCCGGTGAACTTATTCCTAATTGTTCCATTCTGGCTTAATTTACATGGGCCACATTCAGCGCTAACCCTTGTGGCCCACCAAATATTGGCTATACGCCTATAGGAATAAGTTCATCTGAGTTCCCTTAATTTGTCAACGAATCCGATTTTCGTCCCTCAACAGAAAAACCAGATACAATATCTCCCTTAACTATCAAAACTAGTGCAGATTAGATCCCTCGGCGGTTTTGAGGGTGGTTTTGGCTCACGTGGTGCCTACGTGGCCAATTTGACTCGGTCTTCATCTGACGTGGCATTGACGTGGCGCCTACATGGCAATTCGATCCAAAAATAATAATAAAACCCATGGGACCCACGTGTCAGTTTCACACACAAATTTAATAAAAAATGGTGGGGCCCACGTGGGCCCCACATTTCATCCTCACCCCTCCTCTTCTTCCTCATCTCTCCCCATCTCCCCTCTCTTCATCACTCTCTCCTCTCCTTTCTCTACAGGCGACGGAGGGAGGCCTACGAGCGCGCGTGGAGGCCGACGAGCAGGACAGCACCTCGGCGGCGAGGCGTGGACGAGCGGGCGAAGCGGGCTGGCGGAGCAGAGGAGGAGCGGTGGCGGGCGAGCTCCTCGCCCTTGCAGGGCTTCATCGTCGAGGAGAGGTCGCAATCCATCGTCTTCGCAGGGCGTCGCGCGGCGA